TATAAATATATGTTAACTTGTTTATTTTAATAATTCTTCAGATATTCTTCATACGTTAGAGTTGTAGTTTGGAATTAAAAAGTTTTTTTAAAAAACGGGTTTTCCTTTAAAAAACCATAATTCCTGATACCCGTTTTAATAAAGTCAATATGCGAAGAACACGAAAAGGTGTGTTCGAATCCCAGCCCGGGACAGTTTTTGAATTTATCAATAAATGTGTTTTCACTTTGTTGGTTCAAAAATAATTTTTAGTATTTCTAGGGAAATTGTGAAAAATATATTTGGGGATTTCCAAAGGCATTACTGTTGCAAAATAGTCAATGTATAGATAAAATTTCCAAATAATTTTGAAAAACTAATTTTTATTCATAGGCTTTATCAGAAATGTAATATGTCAGCTTATCGGGTCGGTGGTGTAGCAGTCTCACGCGCTTATATTCATTTATAGGCAAGTTTGTGGTCAGAGACAAGACAGACGGACAGACAGACCAGACCATGTGGATTTTTAATTAAATTGCATGGTTCGGTATAAGATTTGATGTGTACCGTATTAATAGAAATTCAATTTCTGTTGATATGACATGCAGATTATAAAATCGCCATGCATTACCGTCTCGATGATGGTGGGTGACGTTTTCCGGATTTTCCTCACCTGTAAGTCAAATGGCACCATCAATCATCTTTAAGTCGACCTGGAGCGCCATGGCAAATAATAATAATAGCCGTTCCTTTCCCCGCACAAGCTCAGCTTTTAGGGTTAAAATTCACTCGTAAGGGGGTGAATTAGGGAGAGTATTATTATTATTATTATTATTAATATATTGCTTGATAGAACATCCCTAGTTCCCAAACTTTTATATTATAACAGGAAAACCATCGTTTCATAAATGTACGATACCTACATAAAAACAGTAGAAAATGAGTAGCGTTTGTATAGTGGATAAACAGTAAGCAGTGAGTATTGCTCTTAAAAAATGGGAAATAATAGTCCAATAACTGTCTGTCTCCAATTAAATGTTGGCCTTCTAACTTTTATCTACAAAGGTCCAGCATATGGCATATATAGGTCACTACAGCCGACAGTCGGGCAACAGTCATTTTGCCATCAATAACAGTTACAGGGCTTTTAAAATCCCAGGGTCATTTTGCCAACATATAGTTTGCAATTTTAAATATTGAAACTTCGATGGCTGACTGCAGGCCCAATATTGGCCATTTTTAATATTTCAGCAGTTTATTCGGAAAATAAAGGTCTAGTTTGAGGACAACGATGTTGAAATTGCTAATAAATAAATCATTGAAACATTGGCCATTAAAACAGTTTTCCTTAAATTAGATCTTCATTTTAACACTTCAAATAAAACTAGATATGGTTTTTTCACATGTTTATCAAGTTGCAGGTTAATTATTTATGTTATAACAGAAGGTACGTATACGGTGTGACCATTTAGAAACTTATAATGGGCTATATCTCACAAACTTCATTCTCTACTCCCTGTGCGATCACCTGAATATTTTCTGCTTGAATGACAGTAAATTACACCTGCAAACTATAAAATTTATATAGGTATGTTCATAGTTGACATTTCGATAATACTAATTAGTACCATTGACACACTAACACACTAGTACTTCTTTCTTAAATCCAGAGAACTAAAACAATATATAAATAATTAGATGAATTTTAACTGTGACTTTTCTGGTTAAACCTAAATTAAAAAATTAGTTAAGTAATTGGTAAGTGTTAATTTTAAAATCTTATTGTACTGCTACAAAACAGAAACTATTTTATTACTTATTATTTTCTTGAGAATCCATCAAAACACTCACTTAAATTACCTTTTGCGAGCAAGTATCAACCAAATGACATTCATAAGAAATTTCTTAAAATGAATTTTTTCTGGTTTTGTACTGTATTGTTCTTGTATTTATCTCTTTTATTGAGCAAATTCTACTTACATTTTGTAGATATCATTTAAAATTATATGAGCTCTTAAAAATCACAAACGTATAAGATGGGCAAGTGACTGCCCCTCAAGGCAAGGCCAACATCAATTAAAGTTTGATGGCTCAAAAATCATGAAAATATAATGGCTTCCCATCATTACCCAACATGGTCAGTTCCCCCATAAAACGTGGCAAAGGGCCATACGTTTCCCTGCAGTTGATTGTTTGTTGGGGTATTTGATTGAAAAAAGTATACGTTTGTATACCTCATTTATGGACTACCCTGAATATTTAGGATTTTAATACATAGTCCTAAACAGTAGGTACATATTTTGGGCGTTGGTTCGTTTCGCCCGTTCCCGTTTCGTCCGTTGCACGAAAAATTCTCCTTTCTTCCGGTCGTTAAATTAAGATTATCAAGGGTACTTAAATATTCTCCTTTCGTCCGGTGATGTCAGGTAGGTAGGTAGGTAGGTAGGTAAAAAGAATATACATTTTCCTTCACACTTTATCCAGGCTAAGGACTGGCAATTTATAAAATGAAATGTCTTAGCCTTCTATGTAATGCATACATTTTATATATTGGCGTGATTAAAAATGTTTGCGTCTCAAATATGAGCTTGTCTGAAAAAATAAATACATATATACAAAGTTTTATGCAGCATGCTGACTTGTCGTGGTTAGTTTATTAATATTTCACAATGTATGTCAATCGTCGCAGCGTTTCTGGCAAATCAATAGTTTCCTCAACATATTTGGTGATAGTGTTCTCAATCCTCCTATCCAAATCACAATATTTTTTGAGCCTTTTTGGTGTTGTCAACATTAGCTCATATTTTTCAATAATTATCTTATAATGAATGGAGTCGTTATGTAGGATAGTAATTATCTCAAATATATTTGGATAGAGTTTTTTGCTATTTTTGTTCAGTCTACTATGCCAAGCTTCAGCGACGTTTGTGGTTCGATGGCGACTGCGGAAACACACCCAATATCTTTGAGAGTTTAACCACTCTTTAACAAAGTAATCGTTAAATTTAATTATCTTTTCCATATTTAGAGAGTTTTCCATAATTATCAACCAACCTTCGTCAATTTGGTGGGGAGGTAAATGTACCAGAGCAGCACACATTCTCAAATGCTGCCTTACGTCTTCCCTTTCTCTATACTCTACTGAAAGCCCAAGCTCTTGAATTTTCCTCCAGAGTGATTGGTTGAAGTGAAAATTACAACCTTTTATTTTCACTTCAGGAAATATTTTTATAATTCCGTTAATGGCAGCTTTTTCAAAGTCCAGATGGAACTCTACTGGTTTGAAAGCAGGCACTTTTTCTTCTAAAATTGTAAAAAGTCTTGTATATGTCTTTTCGCTCTTATCCGGTAACAAGGCATATATAATCGGGACAACACAAGTTCTTTCCGCAGTACTTCCCATATCCATGTGAATAACATAAAGTTGTTGGAATACTGTGGGACAGCTTTTAAATGTTCCACCACCGAAAAAAACTTTTCTTTGCCTTAGTAATGGTTCGGCCTCATTTGCAAAGATTAAAATTCTATCTTCACTCTTGCAGTCAAAAAATAGAAATTTTTAATAATTTTCAGGAATTGTAATTTCCATTCGGGTTTTTGGTAGTATTTCGATCCCTAAAGCTTTCTGTCAAGCAGAATACAATTGTTTCTCAAAAGAATTGAATATGGGCACTGTGGTAACGAAATCAAGTCCTTTATTTTTCACATTTTTCGTTACTTCTTCTTCATAAATTTGTGTAACAGGACCACATTCTTTGCGTGTTCTTTTTTTGGCATTAAAAATGCAAACTTGCACTTTATTCTGAGCTATGTATATATATTATGTATATATATTAAAAGTGTTCTCATATCATTATTCGTAGTTTGCAAATTTTTGTAAATCTCTTTCTTATTATATTTATGCCTTAGGGCCTTAGTCACTACTATTTTCCAAAATATATTACCAAAAAAATTTAAATTTTTGTGCGTTGATAGATTTTCAAGCAACTACCTATAACCGTATTATTCGTATTCTTACTTTTGTAAACAATTATAGACTTGAAAAAATTAAATTATTTAGTCTTATTAATAAAATTATGTCTAGCGGACGAAACGATAACTCATTAAGTAGGGTTTTACTTCACCGGACGAATCGAGCATAAAAAGGGTCAAAAGAGGTATAATTTTATTAGCGGACGAAACGGGAACGGACAAAACGAGCAAACACCCATATTTTGTTTTTAAAATGTCTATCTCCAATAATAAAACAGCTATGATGGAACATCCTGCATATGTATAATAGGCTAAAACTTCATGTTGATATTATTTAATAGGTAAATTCATAGCTAATTTAATACTAAAATAATATAGATTTAAAAAATTGAATAAATTGAACTTAGATTGAGCCTCTATGACAGGTTTTAAGCAATCCGTGTAAAATAAACCATTTCTATCATTTCTATTCATTAGCTTGGTAAGAATTTTCAAAAATGTTTTAGATTTCAAAGGAACATTAGCAGGTCATTATAAAACTGAAATAAAATACAGGGTGTTCAGTTTTAAAAAAAGGAATATATTTTTTATTTGCCTTTTTTTAACTACTTAAAACTTTTATTGTAATACAAATTAAAATATCGAGTAATTACACGCGAATGGGACACTCTGTATAGCTTTCGAAATTAAGAAGTAGTTCCTCCTACTTGCGATAGATGAATTCCGTACCTACTCCATCCAGAATTATCCTAAGTATAAATCTATTATCGTAGATCACGAATTGACCTAATTGAAACAGTTTTATCTTCGATACTTGCGCGATTATCGATGGCACCGAAAATACCTTCGAGCATTGAGCTTCCTCGTTGAGCGCCAACTTGATCTTCTCGCAAAACCTTTTTTGCTTGGGCGACGTCGACGGCAAGCGTCCGCTGGCAGTCGTTCGTCGCGTATCCGGAAGAGAAGGCATCAAGACGCGTCGAGACGACCGCGGAACGGGTGCAACGTGTTGCCGTTGAATGACAGATGCCACCGACATGTGTTAATTAATGTTATTGTTTACTAATTGGTCACAAACAGGAAGAACACAGAAAATAAATAAATAGGAGAAAAGAAAAATAATCATGGTGGGGTACTATAATCAAGGTAAAAAAAATTAATAAGATATTTTAGTAGTCCTTTAAAAAAGTGATAGATAGTTATCGCATAATTTTTTTAAATGAGCAGATAATATGTCCGGTTTTACCCAGTTTTAAAATGTTTTACCTCACTTCATTAATAATCCACTTAATTTTGAAAACATATATAATAAATACGGTTGGTGTCATAAAGTGGATTTTTTTTAATATTACAATTATATAAAAGCTTAAAATAAAAGAGTGGGATACTGACATTATTTATCGCAATTTTTTAAAAAGTCGTTCAAATATTGCGGTTTTTTTTTTCAATATGAAAAAAATTATTAAAGAAACTTGTGTCTAATGACATTTTACGTCAACACACCGATTTTGAACGAGATATTTTAATAGGGTTGAGCAGACAACAATTTCATACCAATTTTTGTTAATAATGTTCAACGGTGTGATTATTTTTTACGAATTTTAAAATTATGGAAAAGCAAATGTAACTTTCTTGATTATTTTGCAATTTCCAAGAACATAACACATAAATTAAATATTTTTTAATTAGAATTCCATTCAATAATAACCAGAATTGTATTCAAAATATAATAAACTTTTCATCCTTTTCAAGCTTTTTTAATGAATGCACAATTGTCAGTTACGAGGGCGTAAAAAAAATGTTAAAAACTAACATTTTCTTAAATTCGGATAGGTATCTCATTCAAAATCGGGATTTTAACGAAAAGTTTTCCCAATAACCTTTTTTATATTAAAAAAAAAAAGATAATTTTTGAACGATTTTTACTTTCCTATCTGTATACAGATATAAGGAAAGTATAGGAATCATGATTTTTTTCGACCTCGAGTTTTCGACGGATTTTTACGTTTTGAGGTCCCCTGAATCCGTTTTGACTATTTTCGCGATGATGTCTGTGTGTGTGTCTGTGTGTGTGTCTGTGTGTGTGTGTGTGTGTGTGTGTGTGTCTGTATAACGCATAACTCATGAACCGATACACGGAAAAACACCAAATTTCAAACTTAAGCTTTGTTCCAACGTCTAATGAGCTGATTAGATTTTGGGCAGAGTCGGAACATCTGGGGGGGTACTTTATGGGTGGTCATTTTTATATTTTATGGAATATATCTGTTATTTACGTTTGGGGAAGAAAATTCTTCAAATGAAAGTTACTTCTTATTTTATTTTCTATAATTTCTGTTATATACAAAATTTTCCTAAAATGGTCCGTATTCGCGAAATTTGACAAAATGTAAAAAAATATTTTTTTTTATAAAAATTGTTCAAACAAAAGTTGTTTGTAATATAATTCTCTATAATTTTTATCCTATTGATAATTTCTCTAAAATGGACCGTATTCGAGATATTTGAGAAAATGTGTAAATTTCGAAATTTGAAGAAAACTCAAAAATGGATAAAGAAAAAAACATTAAATTTTTAACTTAAGTTTTATTTCGGCCTGACGTGAAATTATTAGATTTTGGACAAAGTCGGAACATCTGGGGGGGTACTTTATGGGAAGCCGTTTTTATATTTTATGGAATATATCTGTTATTTATGTTTGAAGAAAAAAATTGTTCAAATAAAAGTTACTTCTAATATTATTATCTATAATTTTTGCGTTATGTAAAAATTTCCTGAAATGGTCCGTATTCGAAAAATTTGACAAAATGTGCAAAATTCTGATTTTTATGAAAATTGTTGAAATAAAAGTTGTTTGCGATATCGATCTCTATAATATTTGTTTATACATGATTTTTTTAAAATGGACCGTAATGAAAAAATTGTAGGAAAAGTGCTAAATTTAAATTTTTCAGTATTTTCATTTTCAATGAATATCTATAGAAAAATGTTTCGCGGTAGATGTATGTGGACAATGTATATATTTAGTTTATCCTCTAAACATTTATAGAGATGCTGCAATAGGTTGTACAAAATAACCGGAAAAAGCCTGTAATACCTAGATAGGAAAGTCATGTGTTGGACACATCAGATTTTTACTTTCCTATCTGTATACAGATATAAGGAAAGGATAGGAATCATGATTTTTTTCGACCTCGAGTTTTCGACGGATTTTTACGTTTTGAGGTCCCCTGAATCCGTTTTGACTATTTTCGCGATGATGTCTGTGTGTGTGTGTGTGTGTGTGTGTGTGTGTCTGTGTGTGTGTGTGTGTGTGTGTGTGTGTGTGTGTGTGTGTGTGTGTGTGTCTGTATAACGCATAACTCATGAACCGATACACATAAAAACACCAAATTTTAAACTTAAGCTTTATTTCAGCGTCCAATGAGCTGATTAGATTTTGGGCAGAGTCGGAACATCTGGGGGGGTACTTTATAGGTGGTCATTTTTATATTTTACGGAATATATTCGTTATTTACGTTTGGAGAAGAAAATTATTCAAATAAAAGTTACTTACAATATTATTATCTATAATTTTTGTCCTATATAAAATTTTCCTAAAATGGTCCGTATTCGAGAAATTTTACAAAATGTAAAAAAAATAATTTTTTATAAAAATTGTTCAAATAAAAGTTGTTTGTAATATAATTCTCTATAATTTTTATTCTATACATAATTTCTCTAAAATGGACCGTATTCGAGATATTTGAGAAAATGTGTAAATTTCGAAATTTGAAGAAAACTCAAAAACGGATAAAGGAAAAAACATTAAATTTTAAACTTAAGGTTTATTTCGGTCTGACGTGAAATTATTAGATTTTGGACAAAGTCGGAACATCTGGGGGGGTACTTTATGGGAGGCCGTTTTTATATTTTATGGAATATATCTGTTATTTATGTTTGGAGAAAAAAATTGTTCAAATAAAAGTTACTTCTAATATTATTAACTATAATTTTTGCTTTATGTAAAAATTTCCTGAAATGGTCCGTATTCGAAAAATTTGACAAAATGTGCAAAATTCTGATTTTTATGAAAATTGTTGAAATAAAAGTTGTTTGCGATATCGATCTCTATAATATTTGTTCATACATGATTTTTTTTAAATGGACCGTAATGGAAAAATTGTAGGAAAAGTGCTAAATTTAAATTTTTCAGTATTTTCATTTTCAGTGAATATCTATAGAAAAATGTTTCGCGGTAGATGTATGTGGACAATGTATATATTTAGTTTATCCTCTAAACATTTATAGAGATGCTGCAATAGGTTGTACACAATAAACGGAAAAAGCCTGTAATAACTAGATAGGAAAGTCATGTGTTGGACACATCAGATTTTTTATAATTGCGAATTTGACAGATAACAAATGTGACTACCCAATTTCAACATTTTGTTATTTTGAATTTTTAAAGTAATATTAAAACAAAATCCCATATGAAACCAACTTTATGGCACAAACTGTATAAACAGTGTTACTGTTAAAGTCTGCATCATAATATGAGATTTTTTATTACTAAATTTGGAGTTCGTGAACAGTTTTTGCTTTAAAAATAATAAAAAAATTACATTGATCTGTCAAATTTGACATGTTTTCAAAAAATTACTATGAGTAAGGTCATTTCTCAAGTTTTCGAAAAAAGTTAAATAAAAAAACAATTAAAAATGTAACACACTTTTTGTTTAAAAATGTTTCTAATTGGATATTTAAATAAAAATAGAAATATGCTGAAAAAATAATAACATACTGATGAAAAGTTATTCTAATTTCAACATTTCATAGGAAAATACGCTTTACCTATTTTTATCATATTATAATGTAATAATACTGATACTCTCCCTAATTCACCCCCTTTCGAGTGAATTTTAACCTCAAAAGCTGAGCTTGTGCGGAGAAAGAGAGACGGCTACTGTATAATATAAGTAAATGTTTGAATATATCAGTTTTGCAAACGACACTTCAATGTTTTACCAAAATCAAAATTGGGAATTACTTTACTGTTATACGAGTAGATGTCTTCAAAACCATTGTTGAAACCTCAGAGTAAGTAAGTAGTAAAGAGAGGACAGTAAACAATGTTTGTGTCGCCATGATAATATGGTCGAGAATTCTAATTAGAGAGAAATAGATTAATATCTCTATCTCTTTATTTGTATTTGTCAGTTTGACAAAGCTTTTCTCAGACAATTATTCCAGTGTTTAATTTAAATTTGTTCGTGATGTGGTGTTAAAAGTAATTGTTATTAATATTATATTCATAACGAAAAAGTCATATTTTGTTTTCACTTCATTAAAAATGCACCTACCTACCTTTTAAAACATTTTATTTTATATTCTATTTGGTCAACATTTTCGCATTTAAAATGACCAAGCGAAATTGTTTTACGGTACGCTACTGCTGAGAATTCTAAAACGAGTGAGAAAGCCTTCATTAGAAAGAGAGATACTGATTATATGATAGCGAGACATGGTATAAAAAATAAAAGGTAGGATATCAACAGTGTCAAAAATAGGACGGCCACGCGCATGACGTCACGCGTAGAGTTTGTATAGGCGCGAATTTAAAAATACTGACGAAGTGTGAGGAAAATATATGCTACTTACAGAAATTTAATGAATATTATGGATATTTTAGAAATTACATGGATATTATTATGGGATAGTTAAGGAAAGAACTATGAAGGAACATAAATGGAAATGCATTCATAAGAGAAATATTTTTTGAACAGTTTTTTCTTAATGATTTATACAAATTCGACTTCTAAAGAATAGTTTTTATAACCAGGATAATGAAATAAAGGGTATCTTCGCAACTCGAAACTGAGGATCCTGGTAACAATTTCGCATCTGGGTATGCCGGAAATTTTTACCTCATTAGGATTTGCAACTGGTTACTCATTTACCTGCATTATATTAACCAATTTAATAAAAAAAATATAACGCAAAACATAAAAAAATGTACCAAATACAAATAACTGCTACATAAAATATGGTGGGTGCATATACAAAATTAAAATAAAATGTCGCTGCATTTTTCCTGGACCTTGTCGCTGACAGTTTTTTAATTCATTCATCAAGTACAAGTCGAAAGTTTCTTTTTTCACTTTTGC